GCATCTGTATTCCCATTCCCATCCTGCCCACTTGCCCTCTCAGACCCATCATGCTGTTGCTGAACCACAACAGTCTCCAAAGCAGTAGAAAAAACTTTTCTCCACAATGGGACATCCTTCCAAATATTGGCTCTCCTGTCCTGTCAGTCTTTTCCCCTCCAAACTAAACATCAGCCATTCCCTCAGCCATTCCCTATTGCCCTTCTCTGGAGACATTCCAGCATCTCAAAATCTTGCTTGAATTGTGCTGCCCGGAACTGGACGTTCTTGAGTGCAGCTCCTTTCCGCTTGGTGTTCAAGCAGTGTTTCCTATATGCTGGTGTTCGATCTAAGGTGACACCGAGATATTTAGGATGGAAACAGTGTTCAAGCTCTTGACCTTCAATTCGACTTTGCTTGAATTGTGCTGCCCGGAACTGGACGCAGGGTCATTCCAGGAGAAGTTTCATCATAGTCCAGAAGAGAATGGACTAAACTTACCCGGATCTAGAGCCATTGGGACAGCCTAGAAGCACATTGGCTTTTTTAAGCGGATGTATCACACTTTATTAAAAAAAATCAATTGTTATTTAAAGACAAAAAACCAAAACAAAGAATGTTTATACAAATGACAGTTTTGCTATTTATTTTTCTTTTACACAAATTACAATTTTGGATTTTTTAAAAGGACTACTTAACAAACATAGAACACACACAGACACACAACTTGAACTTGCACAATAAGAACAAAACAAACTAACAAACACTAGTTTATTAAAGTCTCACTTGCTCTATGATTTTTATCTCTATTGACTCTGTTTCCTTTCAATGCTGTTCTATACTTCATCCATTCAGTTAATGTGTCCATCTCAACTGATTCATGAGTCCAATTACACCTTGCTTGGACTACTGCCATGCTCTCTATGTGGGGCTGCCTTTGAAGATACTTTGGAAGCTTTAGATGATTCAGAGATAATTAATGGACCGCCGTCAAGGGAGAGAACCCTTCCGACGTTACGGCAGCTCCACTGGCTGCTGGTCCGCTTCAGGGTTACATGCAAAGTGCTGGTGATTACCTATAAAGCCCTGAATGGTTCAAGCCCAGACCGTGTGAGAAACCGCATCTCTGTACACAATCCAACACGAGTGCTGCAGTCTGCGGAGGAGGCCCTCCTCTCGGTCCCACTGTGCCGTCGCGCCTGGGGCTATTATTCTCAACAAAGGAGGGATGGACGTGGCATCTTTCCCCCAGGGGATTGCTTCTCGCCCTCTTTTAGGAAACTGGAACTCCCAAAAACCCAAAACGCTGTAAATAACTCAAAATAAGTTTTATTTGTCACAAAGTCATTTCTTCAATGCAATGAACTGGAAAACTTTAGAGGGGTGAAGGAAAAACACACTTTACAGTCTCTATTAGTCCTGGGTCCAAGGGGTTTGAAGCTGAGAAGCCTCACCAGGTTTCCTCTTTCCTCAATGGTTGTGAATGCCGTAGCAAACCACAACCCCAGTTCAGATGGCCTATTTTGAAGATTCAGGATCTTCCTCTGGTGCCAAAAGAACCGGCTTGAAGGCGCCTGGGTCTCCTCAGTAATCATCCAGGATGATCTGGACATAAAGCATGAGTCCCAGGGGTAAAAAACCTCAGAATTGGTGCTAAGAGGTAACTTAAATCAGGGTCTTTAACAATGAAGTCTCTTACTCACGTCCATATGGCAGGACCTCTGATGGCAGAATGAAAAGAAAAGGAAGTTCTCCCCTCTTGCAGGAAGAGGTGGAGCCAAACAGTGCTGATTGACAGCTATAAGTAACCAATCCATACAAATATACACAAGCAAGGTAAAAAAGGGGCAGGATTAAGCATGATACAACAGTTTAAGTCTTACAACTAACAGTTCTATACATAGGTGGCGCCACTCGCGCCGTCACACCCACCCCGATCCCAAGCAAGGCTGGTGGGGACGAGATGGGGGGCGGCTTCTCCGTGATCGCCCCCTGCCTCTGGCACTCCCTCCCTAAAATACTAAAACCCATTTATGCACTTTAGCTTATGGAGAGGAGGAGGACTAGTACGTCTTTATATATACCCTCAGCCAGATATTGGACATCTACCTCAGCTCCTTGGAAGCCGTAAACTACCTTATGCTTTTAATGTCTTTTTAATATAACTTGTAACATGGGGGGGAGGGGGTTAATCATGGTAAATGTGTATTAGATTATGTTTATTTCAGTTTTAATGTGGGGTTATTATTTGGTTGAGTTAATAAGTTTATTTCGAGATTGTTTTTTTGATTGTTTTTGACTTGATTTATCATTTGTTTGTTTGTGGCATTGAATGTTTGCTATTTTATTACTTGCTGGAAACCGCCCTGAGTCCCCTTGGAGAGATAGGGCGGGTGACAAATATTATTATTATTATTATTATTATTATTATTATTATTATTAATCTTATGGCGCACCCGGTGGCGCAGTGGGTTAAACCCCTGTGCTGGCTGGACTGAAGACCGACAGGTCGCAGGTTCGAATCTGGAGAGAGGCGGATGAGCTCCCTCTATCAGCTCCAGTTCCTCATGCGGGGACATGAGAGAAGCCTCCCACAAGGATGACAAAAAAAATAAATTCATCCGGGCGCCCACTGGGCAACGTCCTTGCAGACGGCCAATTCTCTCACACCAGAAGAGACTTGCAGTTTTTCAAGTTCCTCCTGACACAATAATAATAATAATAATAATAATAATAATAATAATAATCTTCATCAGCCAATGCCATCATTCTTTGTCTTCCATTCTCCACAGTTAGGGAGATGTGTTGTGTATCCTACTGGACCCTTGGGCAAAGGTGGTGATTAAACAGTCTCAAGTACGGAAATTGGTTCACTCTAAGCAGGGATAATAATAAAAAATAATAATAAACTTTATTTGTACCCCGCCACCATCTCCCCCAATGGGGACTCGGGGCGGCTTACATGAGGCCAAGCCCAAAAACAAATTACAATAAAATAAAATACAAATTACAATAGAATAAAGAACATTGCAGTAAAGTACAAAACATAAATACAATAAACAATATGCACAAAACATAAAAAAGTAGTAAACCAAGCATAATGACAGTGAGCGGGCCGCATATACATAAAATGATTTAAAAACTCAGGGTGAGATAAAGAAGAATTATTCGTGAGGGAGAACACGTAGAGAAATAGGGTGATAAGTACACACAAAGCAAGACTGATGGTCTCGTGTTCCAGGGCTCTCCCAGTATAAAGCCTGAGGAACACAAGCTAGGCCAAGACAATATGTACTTAGAAGAAAGCTAAAGTCTTGAGTCCGGTTAAAATAATACAATTGCAGCAACACAGTCGGAGGAACAATGAACAAAAGTCAAGGTCAAGAGTCCAATTAATGCAGACAACTCAAGTACTGTAGATCCAGGTCAGGAGCAAGAAGAAACAAAAGCCAAGGTAACAGTCTAATAGTCACATGCTAGGAGTTCATTCAAAAGAGTTGATGCAATAACAAGCAGGAAATCAAGAGTACAAAACGAATTCAGAGTCAAGTCAGAAAGTCAGGGATGCAAACAAAGTTCTGGTTCATAAATGAAACCAGGAAGTCAGTCCAGAATTTAGAGTCAATGATTAAGGATGCAACAATGTCCAGAAAAGGGATACAGGTCCATGGCTGGAGCCCAAAATTGTAATTGAGGGGCAGTAGAACAAAGACATGAGTCAAAAGTATGAATATAGGACGTTATCTACCACCAAAGAGCTCTTCTTTTTCAGAACCCTTTTATCCAGAAATCTCAGCTGCTGTTCATTTCAGCAAACCTTCACAGATCATCCTAGAAGCCATTGATGGATTTCCTTGTAGAAGAGGTTAGGTGAATCCCTTGGAAGCTTGCTGCAATACTGAGAAAAGTGCCCCTCTGAGTGAGACCTGCTCCCACTATCCGTCGACCAATGCCACGCAAACCGAAGCTCTTTCCCCATTCTATGCAAATCTATGGCTTCTCTCCTGTGTGGGTCCTTTGATGGGAATGTAGTTTGTCACTGTGACTGAAGCTCTTTCCACATTCCATGCATTTATGTGGTTTCTCCCCTGTGTGTGTCCTTAGATGGATACGCAGAGTGTTACTGTGACTGAAGTTCTTTCCACATTCCATGCATTTATAGGGCTTCTCCCCTGTGTGCGTCCTTTGATGGGAACGTAGACTGTCACTGCGTGTGAAGCTTTTTCCACATTCAAAGCATTTATGTGGCTTCTCCCTTGTGTGGATCCAATGATGGGAACGTAGACTGCAACTCTGACTGAAACTTTTACCACATTCCATGCATTTATATGGCTTCTCTCCTGTGTGCTTCCTTTGATGGGAACGTAGACTGCAACTCTGACTGAAACTTTTACCACATTCCATACATTTATATGGCTTCTCCCCTGTGTGGGTCCTTTGATGGGAACGTAGATTGCCACTCTTACTGAAACTTTCTCCACATTCCATGCATTTATATGGCTTCTCCCCTGTGTGAGTCCTTAGATGGGAACGTAGACTGTCGCTCCGACTGAAGCTTTCTCCACATTCCATGCATTTATATGGCTTCTCCCCTGTGTGGGTCCTTAGATGGGAACGTAGATCGCCACTCCGACTGAAACTTTCTCCACATTCCATGCATTTATATGGCTTCTCCCCTGTGTGGGTCATTTGATGGGAATGTAAACTGACTCTCCAACTGAAGCTTTCTCCACATTCCATACATTTATATGGCTTCTCCCCTGTGTGAGTCCTTAGATGGGAACGTAGACTGTCGCTCCGACTGAAGCTTTCTCCACATTCCATGCATTTATATGGCTTCTCCCCTGTGTGGGTCCTTTGATGGGAACGTAGATTGCCACTCTTACTGAAACTTTCTCCACATTCCATGCATTTATATGGCTTCTCCCCTGTGTGGGTCCTTAGATGGGAATGTAAACTGCCTCTCCGACTGAAGCTTTCTCCACATTCCATGCATTTATGTGGGTTCTCCCCTGTGTGTGTCCTTAGATGGGAATGTAAACTGCCTCTCCGACTGAAGCTTTCTCCACATTCCATGCATTTATATGGCTTCTCCCCTGTGTGGGTCCTTTGATGGTAACGTAGACTGTTGCTCCAACTGAAACTTTCTCCACATTCCATGCATTTATATGGCTTCTCCCCTGTGTGGGTCCTTAGATGGGAATGTAGACCTCCACTCCTACTGAAGCTCTTTCCACATTCCATGCATTGATATGGCTTCTCCCCTGCGTGGGTCCGTTCATGTACAGTAAGATTACTTTTGCTTTTAAAATGTTTTCCACATTCCATACACTGATGTAACAGAGGTCCTGTGTCTGATCTAGGATAGGGAGGCAGGGGACTTGCCATTCTTTTACACTTATAATTCAAATATTATGCCATGGGTTCATAGATATAACTCCTGAAGAACAGAGTTTTTGTATTGCTGTAGCCTTCTGCTTGCTTTCCCAAACCTCTCTTTTTACAGCGCAATCTTATCCCCCCCCCCCTTAACAGCTTGAAATATATTTTTCTACTGCTTATTTTTTTCTTGTTGTCATTGCTGTGTATCTTGAAGTCACTTTGGACTTACACCACTCCTTGGGCAAAGCTCTCACAAGGTGGTCTTCGCAGAACTTGTTCCGAAGTTACCTGCCAGACAAATGAGAGGAAAACCCCTTCAGGATTAGAAGAGCGAAAGATCTCATGGGACATGAAGAACAAACCCAAAGCCGCTTCAGGACGAGGGGAGACCCCGTCCTGAAGCCGGAAGAAGGCAGGGCTGGCCTGGGGAGGGGGCGGGCGGCGCAGGTCATGGGCGCTCTGTGTGGGAAGTTTGCCCCAATTCTGTCGTTGGTGGGGTTCAGAATGATCTTTGATTGGAGGACTTACAACACCTACAACACTTTGGACTTACAACACTCCTTGGGCAAAGCTCTCACAAGGTGCAGAACTTGTTCAGAAGTTACCTGCCAGACAAATGAGAGGGAAATCTCTTCAGGAGTTGAACAGGGAAAGAACTCATGGAACATGAAGAGGAAGCCTAGTGCTGTAGCAAACCAAGAGGAAGAGGGAAGCTGCCCAGTGCCAAGTGAGAAATACTTTGACACTTGCCCAATAATGATCAATCCCTCCTCAGGTACAAAGGGGACGGTGTCCAAAGGTTCTCTGTGTACATTGCAAGGTGTTCAGGGAGGGGCCTTTATAATTCTCAGCCAGAGAGGTCCTGGGCCTCTCTCAACTACAAGCTCTAGACTCCTGCAGGAAAGAGACACAAGATATTAAAGGGGAAGCACACTCTTCTCCTACTTGGAAGGCCAGGCACTAACTTTTCGGAGGCTGCAGGGATTCTTCCTCCGCGTGGCTTTTTGAGCCTTCTCCTTTTGAGTCCACCCTCCCCTCCTGTCTTTGCAGGCCCCTCTGCCCTCCTCTTCCTGCCTCCAGAAGGCATTGACATCCTTCCTGCCCTTCCTTTGCTCATGAATGGGGAGCGGTGGATGTGTTGCAGCCACCCCAGGCTTCACCTATTACCTCCAGCTTCGCAGTGTGGTGTGTCTGCTTTAATAAAATGTATTTCTTAAAAACATGAGCTTGTGTTCCTGAAACACAATTGTTTTCTCAGCCTGGGGGCTGAGAAAAGCGGTATATAAATAAAGTACATAAATCCATAGGTTTTACTATTTTTCATTTTATAATTGATTTTAAAAGGAAGGCAGGAGAATGCAGACCTGGAGACTGGGATTGCATCAACCTCTGCACCAGGTGGGCTTTGGAGAGGAGGGCAGCACATCATGGGGAGACCGCAGAAGAGAAGGCCCTCCTGATTTCTATGGGTGCTCATATTTATACAGACTTCATTTCCATGTAACATTGCTGTTATCTGATCCCTCTTTTTATACATCCTTTTCTTTAAAATACAAATACAAATACAAATACAAAATGCAAAGAGACAGAATGGGGGACGATGAGGCCTGGCTCGAGAGCAGTACGTGTGAACTTACAGCACTCCTCAGGCAAAGCTCTCACAAGGTGTTCTTCACAGAACTTGTTCCGAAGTTACCTGCCAGAGAAATGAGAGGAAAATCTCTTCAGGAGTTGAACAGGGAAAGATCTCATGGAACATGAAGAGGAAGTCTAGTGCTGTATTTTATTTCTGCTACTTTCATGGTACTTGCCACCCATTCCCTGTCTCTGACCATCCCCGCCCCCTTGGATAGACCACATCAGCTCTAGATTATTAAATATGGTTTTCTGAGGGTTAACAGATGGCGACTATTGGATGGTGGTCCATGCCTTAGTCACCTCCAGATTGGAGTTTTTTTTTTAATAAATCATTTTTTATTGTATCAGTTTTACACTCATTACAACATTCCATGTTGGGATAGGTAAGGGGGGGGATGGGCAGGGAGGGGAATTGGGAGAAGATGAAATAACCAAAATTGCAATTGCAATTAAAAATAGGTTGGAATGCCAGTGTGAGTAGGGAGGGGAAAAGTGAGGGTAAGTGGTTGAACATATGATGTTGACTTCCAGCATAGTCCACAGGGTCGAAAGAGTCACCAAAGTGCTTGTATGCTATAGTCTTGTGGATCGTTTATGTCACCTTCACTTATATGATCTGGATATCCTTCTTTTCTGCTAAATATCTCTTTAATGGTTGCCAGTCAATCGATTTCTTCTTACTTTTGTCGTAGGTCAAGTTTGCCAAAATATCCAAGTCCATGTATTCTCTAATCTTGAGGAACCAAGATTCAAGTGTAGGCAGTTCTTTAGTCTTCCACTTTTTTGCTATCACCGTTCTCGCAGCTGCTGACAAGTGATATAACATCTTGTCGTTATTGGGCCCCAGGTCAAAATCTAATAGGTGTAGCAAATAGTATTCCGGTTTCATCGGAAATTTAGTTTTTAAGGTCCTTTGAGTATGGGAGTGTATTTCTCTCCAAAAACTGTTCACCTTTTTACACTGCCACCATACATGGTAGTAAGTGCCTAGTTTTTCTTCACATTTCCAACAGCTACTCTTGGCGCCTTTGTAAAATTTCGCTATTTTTTGGGGTGTTAAATACCATCGCAGGAACATTTTCTGCCAATTCTCTGTGACATCAGACGATTTGGAGTATTTTATTTTTTTTCTCCATATAGTTTCCCATTCTTTCAATAATATGGTATGGCCAAAATCAACTGCCCACTTTATCATATTTTCTTTAATTAGTTCAGTTTCAGTATCCCTTTCTAACAGTTTTCGGTATATTATCCTTGTTAACTTCTTTTCTTTTTTCATCACTGTATCCCAGGTCGAGTCTTTTGAGACAAAGTCCTTTTTTTGTCTTCGATGAAGCTTGCGGTTATTTGGGCGTATTGAAACCATGATAGGTCACCATCTATTTCCCTTAGAGTTTCCAAAGGCTTTAGTTTCCAATAATTGTCTTTTTTCTCTAAAAGGGTATTATAAGTGAGCCACCTCTCTCTCGGAAGTTCTCTTTTGTGGTTCGCTTCTAGCGGCGAAAGCCAGAGAGGTGTTTGTTCATAGAAAGTTCGCTTGTGTTTGTCCCAGACTTTCAATAGCGCGGCCCTGACATAGTGGTTGGTGAAGTTTTTCTCAATTTTGGCTTTTCCATGCCATAAATAGGCATGCCAGCCACGTCTTATATCGAAACCTTCCAGATCCAACAGCTTCCTTTTGGTCAATGTAGCCCAGTCTTTTACCCATGTCAGGGCACTAGCTTCGTAATAAAGTTGCAGATTCGGTAATGCCATACCTCCTCTTTCCGCAGCATCAGAAACTATCTTGTATTTGACCCTTGCTCTCTTCCCGTTCCAGACGAATCTCATTATATCCTTTTTCCGTTGTGTAAACCAATAGTTAGTTCTCAAGATTGGAATCATTTGAAAGAGAAACATCATTTTAGGGAGTATACTCATTTTTATGGCAGCTATTCTGCCGAGCAAGCTCAAATTAAGATGTTTCCAGTTGACCAACTTCTTCCTAATGTCGTTCCAGGCTAGTTCATAATTATTCTTGAGCAATTGCAAGTTGTTGGCTGTTAGGTAAATCCCCAGGTATTTGATTTTGCTCGATACTTCGTAATTTGAAATTTCCTGTAGTTTCTCCCTTCTTTCTTTATTAATGTTTTTGGTTAAGATTTTGGTTTTATTCTTATTGATTCACAGTCCTGAGACTCTTCCAAAGCACTCAATTTTTCCCGTCCAATTCTGGATTGTGTCTATGGGGTTCTCAACTATGCAAACGATGTCGTCCGCGAAGGCCTTTATTTTAAATTCTTCCTTCCTTATTTTCGTACCCTTTAAGTTATTATCTCGCCTTATATCTTCTAGCAATAGTTCTATGTTTATAACGAACAGCAGCGGGGACAGCGGACAGCCCTGACGCGTACCTCCGGGACAGGATAGGGATTCTGTTAGTGTACCGACCACCCCGCTGCACTACAGTCTCCCTACCTGAGCTAGCAGGAGTGATCTCAGACATGGCGTTGAGCTTCCAACGGCTTTTGGTCTTGGGTGATTTCAACGTCCATGCTGAGGCCTCTCTTTCTGGCGCGGCTCAGGACTTCATGGCCGCCATGGCAACCATGGGCCTGTCCCAGCTAATATCTGGTCCCACCCATAGCGCCGGGCACACCTTGGATTTGGTCTTCTCCCAGGGATGGGATGAAGGTGACGGGATGGAGGAGCCGACCATCGCTCCATTGCCATGGACCGATCACCATCTGATCAGTTTTAGACTAACTGTGCCTTCTAACCTCCGCAGGGGTGGTGGACCCATTAGAATGGTCCGCCCCAGGAGACTGATGGATCCAAATGGTTTTCTGACGGCTCTTGGGGATTTTTCCACCTCCTTGGCTGGCGACTCTGTCGATGCTCTGGTCTCTCGCTGGGACAGGGAGTTGACCAGGGCAATTGACACAATCGCTCCGGAACGCCCCCTCTCGAGTAACCGAGCTAAACCAGCCTCTTGGTTTACTGAGGAGCTGGCAGCGATGAAGCGAAAGAAGAGGAGGCTAGAGTGCGTGTGGCGCCAGAAGCCCACCAATCCGGCTCAAACACACCTGAATGCCTTTTTAAGGTCCTACGGTGTGGCAATTGCGGCGGCTCAGAAAACATTCATCACAGCCAATATTGCATCCGCGAAGAATCGTCCAGCTGAGCTTTTCCGAGTTGTCAGGGGCCTGTTAAATCCGCCAAAAAGCGAGGCCTCGGATAACTCGGTGGCTCGCTGTGAAGCATTTGCTCGATCTTCGCGGATAAAATTGAGCGGATTCGGTCGGGTTTTGACGTCATGTTAACGGCAGTCTCTGGGGATGTAACGAGAGCATCTGCTTGTCCAGTTTTATTGGATTCTTTTCAATTGGTTCAGCTTGAGGATGTGGACAGGATCCTTGGAGAGGTGCGACCCACCACATGCATCCTAGACCCCTGCCCTTCCTGGCTGATCAAGGAAGCCAGAGGGGGTTTGGCGGAGTGGGTGAAGGTGATGGTTAATGCCTCCTTACAGGAAGGAAAATTTCCAGCGAGCTTAAAACAAGCTATTATAAAACTGCTGTTGAAGAAACCATCACTGGATCCCACTCAATTCGACAACTATCGGCCAGTTCTCCAATCTCCCCTACTTGGGCAAAGTCATGGAACGTGTGGTGGCAACACAACTCCAGGGGTTTCTGGTAGACACTGATTATCTGGATCCGGCACAGTCTGGCTTTAGGCCGGGACATGGAACTGAGACAGCCTTGGTCGCCTTGGTAGATGATCTTCGCAGGGAACTGGACAGGGGGAGTGTGTCCCTGTTAGTTCTGCTGGACCTCTCAGCGGCTTTCAATACCGTCGATCACGGTATCCTTCTGGGTCGCCTCATGGACATGGGGCTCGGGGGCACTGCTTTGCAGTGGCTCCGATCCTTCCTTGAGGGACGGACCCAGAAGGTGTCACTGGGTGACACCTGTTCGACCCCACAACCGTTGTTGTGTGGAGTCCCACAGGGTTCAATTCTGTC